TCAGACCTAGTCAGGATTCCATGGCAGGTGAAGCCATAGGCTCTAGGAGAGAATTTATTACTATTATATTACAAAACAGACATAATATCAAAACTACTTTCTAAATACTTGTTTCCTATTCAAAGGCTGGCATATCACTTAGCCCCTATCAGAGAAGCTTCTTTTTTCACTGGATGGTGGTTAATACAGGGACACTCACAACTGGTCAAGTGTAGAGAATAAGCAATGGTGGAGTGATCATCTACATCACACATTTATAGGCCACATCTGTATCACACCCCAATGCAACATCTGTGTCAATACTCTTCCCTTCAAAGGCTGAGGGTTGCAAAAGGGAGGATGGAAAAACTATGAGAGATAGTGGTCACGGGAAACAGTATGTTCTGGACATGACAAGACCACAGAATGCTTGAATTCATACCAGCTGTGGTTGCCTGTGCAGAACCAAGCAGAAGGCACGCATGTGCATGCGAGGGGGGGAGGGGAGGAGAGTGCACTCATGAGGTCCCACCTATGGCTGCTGGGGGAGGGAGAGCCAATTTTCTTCAGGGAGGTGACCACGCTTTAGTGAATGGCCTTATACCCATTCACATAAGGGCAACACTGAGGAACATAGCTAAAATTTTAAAAAAAATGCAAAACGCAGACATGAAATTGAGGAGGGACATGGTAGGGAGGTCTGGGAAGAGTTAGAGGGGAGTGGGGTAGATAGGATCAAAAAATAGCATACACATACACTGAATTCTCAGAGAATAAATAAAATATATTTAAAAATTTAAAGGTTACTTTAACATACCATGAATTCCCATGAAGACATTAATGCCATCAATGAAGTATTTGCTATAGCCCTACCATGCCTCTGCAGTGCTGCTTGTTGGGATTACTGGAGCATAAAAGAAAGGCCTTTCCCTGGGAAAAGGCTTTTTTTTCTTTTTCTTTTTGTCATCAGGAAGACAAGCAGTGACTAAGAAACATAAAAAAATTAATTTCACCCAAGCTGGCTTTCTTTCTGTCTGGCTCTTCCCCTTTCTGGGCCTTTCTAGCTCTCCAGAGTCACAGCAGCCCCCATGCAACTCCTCCAAGCTAACAACAAGCCCAGGGACTTGCACCAGTCTCTCTGCCCTGCCCAGGGGATCTTCCCTAACAGGTTGCTCTTCCATTCAAATCAGAATGCTGATTCTTGGACAAACTGTCTATCATCTTCACGTCTTCCCCACCTTTGCGTTCTAGATCACACAGCAACTAGCAAACATCATGGTTTGTTGTGCAAAGCAGAAAGGGTGGGCCTGAATGAAGCCTCTTCCCAACTTCCTCCTTTCTGCTGCTGGCTTCCCCAGCTCTGACTTTTCTTTGTTCCCACTGTGCTCCTTGAAGAGTGATTATGAATGCCTTTAACAACCACCTGGACGGCTGGCACCACCTGCATTTTACAAGTGAGGAAACTGAGGCTGTGAAACTTTTATTGATGCTTAATTACTCAATCTCTACCTAGTAATTGGGTTTTCTAAGGCTGCCATGGTTGGAAGACTTCCTTCCCATCTCTTGGGTTCTCAGGAGTTGTTCAGAAACTCCTATAAGGCCAGGATGGAAGGCGCTGCACCTCTGTTGCAAAATGGTGCTACCCTCCACTTGAGGTTCCTGCTTCACACTGCAACCCACTGCAACACACTGTGTAAGCCTTGGTTCGGCCCTTTATTTGCCTCTCAGAACTTAGGAAAGTGAGACTGGAGTCGTATGTTCTCTGAAGTCTCAAGGAAGCAAAGCTTGGGTAGCACATTTGCTCATGAGTGATATAAAAATCAAGTCCTAGATGATGAACCACTATTATTCTTCTACCCACATGTCCAAACATTTTTATTAATAAAATTACTCCGGGTGACTTCTTAGTGACAGAGCAGATCTCTATCCCTGGCCCCTCCCAGCTGGAGCACCCCAGGTTTCAGCATCACCTTCCCTGGAGCTTTGGGGTCTCTGGCTCTACAGGGTCTTTGGGATGCGTGAGTTACTGGATAGAAGGGACCAGAAGCAAAATCGACCTGACTGAAAAAGACAAAATGAGCAGTATCAGCAGAACCACAGTAAACTAATGGATTTCAGGCAGATACTGGGGAAGGAAACGCACATGACAATGGGGGGGAAATTTCTAATCATTTACATTTTGGAGACTGCAAGAATGAATTAGCCAAGAACTCTCTGCACTTTTCCCAGTGGAAGTCTGTTAGGATGAAGGTTCCCCCACAAAGAGCTTCCTGTTAGAGACACCTTTGTCCTGCCCCCACTCAACTGATAAATTTTTCTTGTCCCCTGACACAGTCCAAGACAACAGGCACTTGGGAATGACAGGCAAAGAAAAGCAGAGTGGAGCAGTGGCTGTGATGGTGGCAGGTGGGGGAGGGAACACACAGAGGTCAAGGTGGAAGAGGTCAATGGGGTACCAAGTGCATTCCCTGTTTCTGGAACTTAGCACCTACTGCTGTCTACACAGCGGTTTTCTTACTCCCAGGTCTGTCAGGAGAGGATATTCAGTGTCTGAGCCTGTGCTGGAGTCCTGTACAGGGTCCTTGACCTTCATGAGAATCAGTTTCATAGCAGGCGTGTGGGGCAGGCTACTCTGATGATGCTCAATGGAGCAGGCTCCCTGGCAGAGCTACAGCCTGCTCCCTGGTGGCTGCAGCAGGGCTGGGCTGCATCCCACAAGATTGGAGTTACGGTCCCTTCCATTACAAGATACTTACAGGCACCCCAAGCCTGGATCCAGGCAGAATGGCTTTCTGATTGTTCTTTTTCCACCTGAATGAAATTCAGTTCGTGGAAGGTTTAATAAGTCCTCTGGGCCCCCGAGAAAGAACTGCTCAACTGCTCCCACAGATGAGTTTCAGACTCTGTATCCCCAGGCCCTGGAGGGTCTAAGGTCCAAAGCTCCAGCCTGGAAGCCCTAGGCAGTGCTAGGGTTTGCAGTTCCCAGGTATTCTTTGCTAAGAGCCAGAAGCCTGGCAACAAAAGGTGATTGCTGCCAGGGGGCTTGTCCCCCTGCTCACTGCTGCCCACCTGAGAGACAAGCTTTGTCACATTTCAGAATTAGAGAAACACCTCCAATGCCACCCTTTCCTGCTTTAGCATCTGAGGTTTGCAGAGAGGACACAACCAGCGTAGGGATGTCCGACAGTCTTTGGTGACACCGAGGCTAGGACTTGGGGTCCTTGACTTTCTGAGCACGTCCCTTAGAGTATGAGCAGATGTAGGAACTGGACAGCGGGAGCCCGGCAGGTGACAATGCCCTACATGCCAGAGAAGCAGACTGGATAGAGGCCATGCCTCTGTACCCCTCCAGCTCCAGTCTCTGCCTGCTGGGCCTCCCTCCCTGAGGCCAGCACCACCCAGCAGCCCATCCTTGCTTTCTGAATGGAGCCTCCTGCGCCAAGTGACATTGTGGCCTTGACACAGGGACACTCAGAGGGCTCACGGTCCTATCTCTGAAATGCATTCTGAGCACAGATGCAAAGCAGTAAGACGAAACAATTTCAGATTTCGCTGAGGGCCGTGGACTAAAGACGAGCAAACGGTTTCCTGCTAGGGACGCCTTTGTCCTGCCCCCATTCCATTGTCTGGCTTTTCTTGTTCCCTCCCATTCCTACAGGCACTTGGAGAAGACACAGAGGAAAAGAGAGAAGTGGCAGTTATGTGGGTGAGAAGGTGGGGGGTATCGAACACACAGGGAATCAAGGTGGAACTGGGCCATGGGCCACGGGGTATCAAGTACACTCAGGGTCTTTGTGCACACTGCTGTCTAGATAGCCGTCTTTTGGACCCCAGAGTCTTGTTCTTTCATTGCATCTACTTTGCTTGCTATTTTTGTGCTTGTGAAGATACACACGCGTGTGCAGATGCATGAGTGTGCATATGGCGGCCAGAAGTCAGCGACAGATGTCCCTTTTGTTAGGAGCCATGCACCTTGGGTTTTGAGAGAGGGATCTGGGCTCGCCAATTAGGCTATGCTGACTGGTCAGCGAACTCTAGGAATCTGACCATCTTCGTGTCCCTGGTGCTAAGGTAGCAAGCGTTACTGCACCCAGACCTTCACACCCCCGAGGCAGGACTTCATTAACTTGACTCAGCACTGCATCCCTGACTGCCCAAAGGCCCTCCTGCTCACCTTAAAGTCACCTTGCTGCCACTCCCCCTGGCTCTGTAGCATTCTCCCTGCCTTAACCTGGAGATGACTCTGCACTGGGGCTCAAGTTACTTGTTTTTCTGTGTGTTCCCTGCTGACCCGGGAGATTGGAGCTCCTAGTCTGCTTTGCCCAGGGGCCCCCAGTTAAGAACAGTGACTTGGGGCACTAGGGAACACTCAGGGCCTAGAGCCAGGTTCTTTCTGCCTGGGCCTCATAAGGAGTGGGAGATCTGGATCTTAAATGCTGACACCTCCTGGGGGGAACGGGGGTGGGGGGAGGGGAAGAGCAGCAGCCACCTGGAGCAAGCAGCCTAGGACCCTGAGGCCTTAAGTCTGAAGTTTTCCTTTTCTGGTTGACCCCGGCGAAGCAAATTATCGGTTCCAGGGAGGGAGAAACTTCCCGTGGTTTCGCAAAACCAAACCACCAAAAATAACCAGGTGGTGTAACTGTCCAACCACCCAAGGCTGTGTCACTCGAGGGTGAGATGCATCTGTGGGCACCTCTGTGGCTGAGGCAGGATGTGACGCAGTCATGAGGAGGCACCTGGCCCTTCTGTTGCTCAGCCTTCTGCTTCCTAGAGAGCTGCGTCCTCAGAGAGCTTCTTAGGGAGGTGGGTGCACTTCTGCCAGTCACCCGGGACTCAGAACTACAGGCCAGCCCCCTTCTTAGTTTAGGACCCCACAGCTCTTCCCAGAAAGCCACAGTTCTGCGTGAGGTCACCAAATCACGAAAGCCACAGCTCAGTCTTTGGTGGAGACAATCAGTCTGACACCATCCCGGAGACGGTGGAGCAGTTTCTAGAGTCAAGGAAAACAAAGTTGTTCTTACCTGCTGTGCCACGTCAGTGGAGTCCCTTGACCTCTCTGAGTCTCAGAGTCTTCATCTGAAAAACAGAAACAATGGCTCAGCTTCACCAGCAGGAGGGCCAAAGCCTGGAGGACCAAAGATGGGGTTCCTGCAGCTTGTCCAGCTCAGCCTTACACAGCAAATACTGTTCTCAAGTAGAGTAATGGCCTCCTTAACTGTTCGGTGCTGGGGAAGAATACGCGAGTATCTAAAACAGCACAGGGCAGAGCGACGGAGCCATGTGTCTCTACTTCCTGTCCAGAACGGAAAGAGCAAGGCTCTGGAGACCAGGCCTCTCAGCTCACTTTCAGTTCCCAAAAGCTAAATATGGAGCACCTGGCCCAGAGTCTGAACTTCTCGGGGTGCTGGCAGGTCCAGCTCCTCCCACTCCTGGGGGATGGATACAACTGGAAGCAGACATGGAGCCCACACATAGGGGCTGAGCCCAACACATACCCCAACCTCAGGGCAGTGGCTGCCTCATAGGGAGAGGGCAGCAGGAAAGACGTCAGCTGCACTTTGGGGACTGTGAGGACAGAGTCTGAGCTCAGATCCCAGGTCAGAGGCCACGACCCCTCTGACTCAGGACCCTGCTGTGAGTTGCTGTAAGGTCTCAGAAACGGGGTCCAGAGTCAGTCTGTTTTTTGGGGTAAGAGATTTATTGGGCAAGTTCTTAGCTTGACAGAAACACAGCATGGGGGATGGGGGAGGGGCTCTTACAGGTTTCAGAGGTGGGGGAGGGAGTCCCCTGCCTGGTAGTTGATAAGTAACCCCTCATCCGTGCCTGCTTGCAGGTTATCTCTGATTCCCAGGGAACACAGGGAGGCAGAAGTTCTGCCCTAGAGTTAATGTATGTCCATCATGTCGGAGATGCGCACTTGCAGGCCCTCTGCTTAGGGTCTCAGCAATCTTCCTGTAAGGAGGAGAGATTCAGACTTGCAGGCAGGTACCTATTATTCCCCCATAGCAATGGGAATTGCAAAACAGCGGAGTGTGGAGGCTGCTGCTGGTGAACATGGCTTGAAAGGCACCTGACCTAAACTTAACAGTCACAGGTCACACAGGGGCAGGCGGCAGGAAGAAATTCTGACTTCAGAACATTCTTTTGCAGGAAGGAAGCAGACATCCAGGTAGAAAGAAGTTGAATCTGAGAGTGAGGGGGGCTGATGGTTGGTTGAGCTTGTGTCCTAAGTTCTGAGATGGGTAGGACCAGCACCAAACATCAAGTGGGCTGAAAGTTCTCCTGCCAGGCCCGACCCTTCTCTTTTGCCAGAATGCTCCCTCCATGGCTCTGAATCTGGGTTAGCTCAGGGCTGCTACCCATAGTGGGCTTGTGATACACATGCTACATGTGTGCTTATGGGTACTGACTATGGGACTAGATGCCCAGGGCTGTCACTCAGTGGCTTCACATCCCCCTGTCATGGAATGTGGCTGTCCCTCAGTTTCCCCATTTATAAAGAATGACAATCGTAATTCTTTCCTATGGTTGCTGGGAAGATTCAGAGGCCAAAATAAAGACAGTGCTTCAGATGTGCATTATAAGTGCTCTCTAACGGCTGGGACACCACCCTCACCCCCATCGTTGTCATGACCACGACCAGCACCACTACCGCTATCATCACAGACATTACTACTGTACTGTGCAAATAGTTATTCCCTGCCTCCTCCTCATAACTACCATCACTATTACATCATCAAAAATATCACCACTATCTTTATAATCATCACCATTACAAACATGGCCATCACCTCATCCCTATCATTAGAAACACCACCACCGCGGACATGATCACACAGAACACCATAGCATCATGATCAGCATCCATCTCAGTTTCTTTTCTGATGCTACGATAAAATACCCCAACTAAAGCAACTTAAGGAATAAAACGTTTATTGGGATCACGATTCCTGATCACAGTCCATAACTGAGAGGAAGCCAAGGCAGCAGAAAATGGAAGGGGCTGGTTACATTGCAACCAGTCAGGAACAGAAAGCAAGAGGTTAATGGGTGAATGCCAGCAGTCAGCAAGCCCTTTTCAGTCTTAAAAAGTCCAGGATCCCTGTCAAGTCCAAAAGACACTCCTTCCCTCAGCTTCTTTCTCATTCCTACATGCCTTGCCATTTTGGCCAGGTGCACTCTCTCTCTCTCTGCTTTCTCTCTTTTTTTTTGTCTTCCTCACTCTTGCCCCTCTTTCTTGGTCATCTCTTCTCCTCCTCTTCCCCCACCCTTCATGGTCCATTCTCCTATCCATGTTCAGTCTACTATTTTCTCTCCCTATCTATTCTGGACTCCTCCAGATGCCTCTGGCTCTTTCCCTCCTCATATCTTCAACAAAAACCTTCTTCTCAGCCATATCTTGGAGTGGTCATGACCTCACTTTATACATCTGATGCCCCAAAGAAAAGGAGGACATGACAGATTCTAGGTATGGTTGAGGAGAAGGTTTTTTTTTTTTTTTTGGTTTTTCGAGACAGGGTTTCTCTGTGGCTTTGGAGCCTGTCCTGGAACTAGCTCTGTAGACCAGGCTGGTCTCGAACTCACAGAGATCCGCCTACCTCTGCCTCCCGAGTGCTGGGATTAAAGGCGTGCGCCACCATCGCCCGGCAAGGAGGAGAAGGTTTTTATTGTATCTATGAGGGAGGGCAAGGCCAGAGGTATCTGAAAGACTCCAGACTGAGTGAATATGGCCAGCAGAATAGACAGGACCATGAGAGACGAGAGAGAGAGAGAGAGAGAGAGAGAGAGAGAGAGAGAGAGAGACAGAGAGACACACTAAGAGGGCACAGAGAACAAAGAGAGCGCACAGCCAAAATGTCTGAGCTAGAAGGGAAAGAGAAACTGGAGAAAGGAAGGTGAAGCTCAGGGGCTGGAGAAGTTTAGGGTAAGGGGTAGGACGAGAAGTTCTGAGAGCAGCCAGGATCTATAGCAGGTACTTTGAGGCTGGCAGAGACTGCAGTCAGAGTCTGCTTTGATAAGTTAATAGGCACCTCAGCTAGCCATTTGTCCCTGGCTTCTTTGAAACCTGACAGTGTGGGAACTCCCACTTTATACAATTTCCTTCTAGGGAATGGTGCCACTCACGGCGAGCAGATCCTTCTACTTTGATTAATATCATCAAGATAATCCCCTACAGACATGCCCTCAGAGCAACCTAATCTACACTTCCTTATCAGGTGAGTCTAGACGATACCAAGTTGATGAAACTAACCCTCATCACCATCATCAGGATAACTATCATCACCCTAACCACTGTCACCACCACCATCATGATCTCCCGCTCGAGGCCAGATGTGGCAGAGTTCACATTTCCTTGGACCTGCTTCCCAGATAAGGAAGCTGAGACTGAGAAGGTCAATCAGAATCAGTCATCAATACAACAGTTAATAACAGTGAGCTCAGGGAGGGCAGGGAGGTCAAGAACATGGTGCTTTCCCAACACTGCTGAGCTGGGTCATGTGCTAAAGAGCCTCAAGTACAAGACAACACATATGTAGTATCAGAAACCATGAATGTGTACAGTTAGACCCTCGGCAGAAAGGAAAGGCTGTGAGGAAGTGGAGAAAGGGGGCCATCTGCAAGTCCAGAGGAGCCCTCACCAGAACCAACGCTAATACTGTGATCTTGGATTTCCAGTCTTTAGAACATAAAGTATTACGTTTCTGTCCTATAAGCCCTCCCTCTGCTGATGGTATTTTGCCATGACTGCCCTGGCAAAGGAATGCAGGGCTCTAGCCATGATCCCACCTTACAGATGAGGAAGCTGAGGTACAAGGTTAGTAAGTAGATCATGATGCTGATAATCACACAACAGCCAAGTGAGAGAGACGTAGGCATCCAGCTACACAGTCAATTGGCAGGTAGACAAAGTTACTGTGCAAATATTTATTCCCAGTCTCCTATCCTATGCCCTTTATGATAAGGAGGACAACATGCTCCCAACTCACCAACGTCAGATGGCCATGCCACTTGCTCTGGCAATGATGCATGCCATCTCTGGTAAAAGGCTCCACTGTGCCTGTGAGGTCCTTTCAGGTATCACAGAAGCTAGTCACCATTTAGAGACTGCCCTCAGCCTAAGCAAGGCTGAGAAAACAGCAGAATCACAGTCGCAGCTAACAGCTCATTCACATGAGCAAAATTCCCTACTAGAGCTATGCAGATAAGTATTGTTCCTTACTCAGCTAAGCTTACAGATCCAGCGTCCCTTCTGCAATGACTAGTTTCTACCACCAAGCATTTGATTTACAAGGATGGATGGGGGGGGGGTCAGGAAATCTGCTTCTATCCATCCACTGTGACATTAAGCACCTCAATGGCCATAAATAAAGCCACTTCACTTCTCTGATTGTTTGTCTTCACGTGCAAAGGAAGGGTGGTGTCAGTCATTATGCAGGTTCACAGAAAAGAGTGGACAGAGAATTACCCTTTAGAACTTTATTAGAAGAGAGAGAACCTTGTGACCATGGGCTGCTATGACTGGGCCTTGAAGTGCAAGAGAAAGAGAGAGCGGCCATGTATAACATGATGGAGGTCTTGAATGTTCAAGAATAGAGCAGGGTGTATACTCTTAAATTAAGAGAGCTGCTGCAGGGTGCGGCCTGATTTCTAGCAGAGAGTGGGAGAGAGGCAGTGGAGGGTCTGTGATGTAATGGGTAGGTATATGCATGCTCTTAGGCTGTTGCAAAAATTGGCTGAGAGATAGATGGAGTTCTCAGCACTGTGCCTGACAAAGGAGAGTTGGGGATCGACAGACAAGGATGGCAGCCTGATGGATGAGGGTTGAAGACAGGCACCGAGGGACTGGATCTAAATCGCTGCTTACAGCAGCTACTTGGGGGCCCATGGGGTGAGAGGTTCACATTGCACTCTCATATGGGGTGAGGGCAGCTGGGAAGGGAAGGTTGACACCTTTAGGCACACAGAGGCACAGAAGGGACAGAGCGTAGGAAGGCACATGTGGAATGCAAGTGTCCCCTTGCCTGTTCCCATCTGCTTCTTAAAAGGAGAAATTGAGACTGGGGAATGTTTTCCCC